AAATGACGAATGAAGCGAAAAATCGACCGAGTCGAAAAATAATCGAGCAATTGTTTCGCATATCCGATCGATCATTGCTTTCTTTTTTTCTTTTTCCGCCCCTTTTTCGCATCGCCCAAATTCCAAATTGAATTTAAAACGATCGAAACGTTTCGTAATGTTACCTGTGCCCGGTAAGTAGTTGGAGAAGGAGAAGAGGAAGAAGACAAGAAAGAAAGAAAGCAAATGGAGAAAAAGAAACTGGATATAGACGAAAGAGAGACTTGAGAGGGAGAAAGAAGAAGAGGGGAAATAGCGAAAAGAGGCGATGGTGGTGGTGGTGGTGGTGACGGTGATGGTGGTGGTGGACGTTTGAAATGGAGGTTCGAGAAAAGGCGGTCCTCGAGGCTCCTTGTCCCCGACGTTTAATTTCAGGCAGTCCGAGAAGCTCGTAACATCTCTGCAGTGTTTAACATCGAGAAGAGGGCCTTGGGAAGAAGATCAACCCAGAACCAGTTCTCGCGCCTTAAACAGGCGGTTCTCACGCATTTATAGCCCTTCATCACGCTTTCCATTCGACCTAATTGCCGCGATCGAGCCCGTGAGAACCACTGTTTTGCCTACCGTTTTGCAAAAAATTCGAAATCGCGTTAAACTCGAAGTTTTTCGGTTAAAATTTTACCAATTTCGAACGATAAATGTGAAAAATAATACGTCGAACGATCGATCATTGAACAAGAAAGAAAAAAGCAAAAAAAAAAGAGAAAAACAATCACCATATTTCCACCAGAAAGATTGTGCCAACTATATAACGGGGACAAGACGAAACGAAAGAAACAAGAATTAAATAACATTTATCGTAGTGCAACGATAGTTGAGAATTACTGACTAGAGATTTGACGATTGTTTCATGATCGATAATACGGATGTATATAAAAGAAAGTGACTTACTTAATTTGAACGTTAATGAGTCACTCGAATACTGTATTTGACACATATCGATTGCACGAACATCGTTTAACGAAGACGTCAACTTTTTTGCCTTTTCTTTTTTTGTATTATTTCGTTACGCGATTCTCGCGCCTTCGCGTCAACATGTGGACGTGTTTCGAAAGGTAAGCCGGGAAACTGGAGTTTACGCTAGCGGATCAAAGAAAGTCAATGCCGTGACGTTTCCACGAGCTTTTTTACGGTATACTCGAAATCCCGTTACGCGAGATTTCGCCTCGACCGCGGTGAACTATTTAAAAAGGAGCGACAAAGCGTGTCGAAAGAGGTCGATAACCGGCATTCGATACGTGGAATTTAAAAATCGCAAGAATTCGATGCGAGTCAATCTTTTTTTCCTATAAAATAATAATTTCTGGATGAACTTTCATTGTATTCATCATAAAATAAGACAAAAATCGATTTGTGTTCTATTCTCTGGAAATCGTGTTAATAAATTTTATTTTATTCTCTATGACTCATGATATCATTTACGATTAAAGGAAATTAAATCGTAACATCAATTATTATACGTGTATATAGATGAAATATTAGATTAGATTATCGACTATCGTCCGATTGCTATACATAATCGAAATAACATTTAATATGATATGTTTAATACTTTTATCGTTACTTTGATTTCACCTCTGATTCCCTCGTACACGAGAAAAAAGAATAATATTTTAGGTTGGTGATACGAAAGTCATCATCGAGGAGAGAAAAAAAGGGACATATACCGGGGGTACAGAGGATACTACTCGAATAGGAACCGGAACTCGCACTCCGTGCTCGGAATTGATTACACGATTGCACATGTACAGCTGTGCATATGAATCAGATAAAAGAGTGTCGGGGGAGTTAGAAGAAACACGATGCGCGAAGAGAGGTTATCGGCTCCGTCATTGATTTCTTCGTTGCACGAAAATAAATCTCCATATCAGGGGGAGAGCGTATACGCGCTCGCACGAGTAGGCAAACAGAGGCAGATGCTTTTAAAACCGCAGAGACTGATCGAATCGAAAATCATCCAACAAGAATAACGCTTCGAAGATGATCCTACCTGACATGATGAACGATCGCTAAAATCCAACATCTTAGATTTTCTATCTATCTAGCATCCTAACGTATATTATACTCGTTAGTCATATCGATATCTGTTGCGAATCTTTTGTTCTGCGATTAATTAATTCACAAAAAATTATTGATATTGGGATGGAACAGTTACACATTTCGAATCTTAATAATAAATTTAAATTGTTTTTTTAAAGAAAAAACAAAAAATAAAAAGAAATTCAAACAAGAGAAAAATTAGATTTATATTTATACATAACTCATTCGTGGAAGAATGCTATCTTTTTCCAACAATCACTGATCCGTAACTCACTTTGACCTAGCTAACCTTGAATTGATCAACTTCGTGTCGCATATTGTATTAAGAATGCGAAATAAAAATACAAGTACCCAAGTACCCAACCACAATAAATAAGACGAGTTCATTCTGACGACCTTGTATTCTGCTTTGAGAATCTTTCGCTTCTATACAATACACATCTCGTATCTGCACGTTCATGAAAGAAATGTATTCTACGATATCGTAATATCACCAAATGAACAATGGGCAATAGTATAGAAGTTAAAGAACTCTAACATAAAAATATTATTTATTTCAACTAATAACCATATTGAAGATTTAATATTGATCCGATGTCGGTTTATATATTTGTTCTATCAATTTTCAATTACGAAATGAACTGCGTAAATTGGTAATGTCAGATGACGCATAATTTGTATCGAGGCAGGCAGAAATTTGACGCTGTCAACGAGAACAAAATTTTATTGGGATCGTATAAAATATATCGATTTGGAAAATCAAAAATACGAAAATATATAAAATTTCAACATTCAATGAAGCAAACTAAAATATGTTCGTTCAAAGATTACTACTGACCCACGTGCTACGAAATACATTTTCATAGAACCGGCGTCACCCGGCGAATCGTTGTTACCAAACTTTTGATTCATGATCGAAGTAAAGCAAATCAATGAGTAAAAAATATATTTATCGGTAATTGAAAGGCGTTTGAAATTAAAAAAAACTTTTCGCTTACTTTTAACGATGAAATATCCTGGAAAAATCTGACAGAATACGGATCCCAAGCACTTGCAACAACACTTCACTCGAGTATGCCGGTCACTGCGCTTGTGCGTTTAAATTCACTAACCTCGACAAAAATACTACCGCCATCTTACGCTTTAAAAGGCCAACTAGTTTATCCACAAAGCCCGTTCACAAAGGGACGGTTAAATTTCTGTTTTTATTTATATCCAGACGAGAAACGAAATAGGAGTTAATAATTAATTTCAAATACATAACCGACATTTTCTTTTTAATTATAATACTTATAATCATGAAATATCTAAATTATATATTTATTTATACTATATCATTATATCAATATAATATTTATAACCTTAAGTACTTACGCATTACGATTCGAGATGCTGGAAATTTTTATTAACTGTTATTTCTTTTTAATTGAAATCATTTTTAGAACTGTTATTACTTGTAAACTTAATAAATAAAATATTTTGACATATCACAAATAAGACGTAGAAAAATTGATATTGAATTCAGTGATTATAAATACATATTTGGTTGTCATAGAAAACAAAAAAAAAAAAAAGAAGAAATCTAATTAGTTAAAGAAGATTAAAATTAGTTTTAAGAAAAAAGTAAAAATTTAAATACTTAAATTTTTTATTATTATAGTTACAAAATTACACCATGAAAACTATATCCATATTTTTTTTTCCATGTCCAAAATAAAGAAATCCGTAATGCGGACTATTCAATTTATGATAAAACATCATACCAGGCCAAAAGAGATTATGTAAAATTATTAATTTTTCACTTATAAGCTGTAGATTCCAACATCCTAAAAGAAAATATATTGTACAAAAAAAGAAAACAATCTTTTAAGTGTTTTGTTAAAAGTTTTCTAATAGAAAATACCTTGTGGTACATCTATATCAATTGCATCTAAAAAATCTATCGCATAATTATAATCAGGTCTCGTAAGTAAATTAGTATTCCATTTTTGTTGCGGTAAACGTGCATGCAAATAAGATTTTAAGTATAATGCATCTGTAGTGTCAAGTCCTTCGAAACTTAAATTTTGAATTACGTCTCCATTGGGACATTTAAACCATGCACCACGAGGAATTATCATACTATCTTCATTAATTATCTCTACTGTAGCTGCTAATCTATCTTCTTCTTTCAATTCTCTTGGTATTGGACCCTATATATTTAAAAAAGGGCATTTTTAAAAATTATATTGTATTATTTCATTAATTTGAAGAAATTTTTAATTTTTTTATAATATTCTTTGCTTACATCATAATACTTTCTGGGATCTTCATTTGGCGGGAACGGAGGATTAATATTATAAACGTTAGTGACTATAGAAGGATCACCCTCGAATTTATTAATTGTAAGAGGTGTTAAGAATCGTGCACATTTATTTGCTTTTGGTAATAATAACCAATTAAATGTATCTATGCTAATTCAAATATTTTTATATTTGTAATATTTTTCGTGAAATATTTCAATTATTTTAGAGAGATTATATTAAGATTACCTGTAATAATATACCTGATTGTTCAAACAATCTGTTTCAAAACCAAATGCGATATGATAATCATTTCGAACTCCGTAGATTTTACCCCAATAATAACACTTCTGAAAATGATTTTCTTGTTGTAATATTATCAGAGAATTTTGTAATAATAGTGAATTTTCTGCCCCCACACAAATACCAGCATAACCAAAAATATCTAAACTTTCTAAAAGTTTTAGACATTCCATGTTGTTTTATGTATTATGTATTGAAATTATTAACAACTAATTATAAAACAATCGAAAATAAGATATGATTTTCACATCTTAAAAGATTAATTATTTGATTTAATTTATACCATAAGACAAAACTTAGTATCTTCATTTTCCAATAGATGGATTCATGTAATATGTAATAAAAAAATACAGATAAAGAATACGTTAACTTTACATTTCGAAAGTGTTTATTAATTTTATATGAAATAAATATGTCATCGTCTGAAGAAGAAAGTGATCAATTAATGAATTTAGAAGCTATCCGAGATAAAATGTTAAATCAACCACGGAGTGAACGTATGCAAGTTAGTGCTTGGGAAGATGATGATGATGGAGTAGAAGCTGAACGTAATGCAAAAGGTTAGATAACAAATTCAAGTATCAATTTTTTTATTATCGAATTTATAGTATATTGATATATTTTTTTATAGAACCTGACGCAAAAGAAATTCTCGCTGCAGCGGAAAATGGTGATTTAGACAAAGTAAAAAAATTATTAACAAAAAACCATCGTTTGTTAGAATGTACGGATAAAGATGGTTATACTCCATTGCATAGAGCTTGTTATGGCAATCATGTGGAAATTGTAGAGGTAAAAATTATTATATTTTATGAATATAACGAATATTTTAAATTTATTTGAAATATGTTTTATTTAAATTTTATAAGAAATATTCATAATTAAATCTATTATTGTTTTTTTTTGTAGTATTTACTTCAAGCAGGTGCAAAAATAGATGCTAAAACTCAAGATGAATGGCAACCATTGCATTCTGCAAGCTGTTGGAATAATGTTGAATGTGTAGCAACATTAATTGCAAATGGTGCAGATATAAATGCTAAAAGTAAAGGAGATCAAACACCTTTGCATCTAGTATCTGCAAGTTCTCATAACTCTCCTGCATTGCAACTTCTCTTATTGCATCCTGATACAAATCCAAAATTAATAAATTCTAGTGGAGATACTGCAGAACATATTGCAAGGAGAACAGGAAAATATTATCCAATGTTCGAAATCATTGAAGACTGCTTAAATGTTATTTGAATCTATTACTTAATATATTCATTAAATATGCTCATATTACATATAAGGTTATGAACATGAAAAATTTATGAAATTAAAAAAAATGTATAATCATATCATGATATACTCACTGTTAATACAATTTTGTATAAGTGTTGTATGTTTTAATACAACAGAATATGAAAATATATTGACACAATATTAATAATAAAAATTTTATGAGTATAATATTTTAGCATTTTTTTTTTATAATAATCAACAATTATTTTGTCAGTTATTTTTGCATTTTTAAATTACAAATATAATAACAATTACTTAAATTTATAAAGCTTTGAGAACAGGATGTTTTAAGTGATTTTGATAGTATATAAAACTATTTTAAATTCAGTATTATAATTATAAAAACTTTCTCTCTCTCTCTCTCTCTCTCTCTCTCTCTCTCTCTATAAAATACTTATTAATCAAATTAAAATTTCTGATATATAAAATTATTTTAACACTAGTATTATAATCATAAAAATCTCTATTTTTTATATTTTTTTTGCAAAGTACTTATTAATTAAATGAAAATATTTATTTAAAAATATTTAAAATAATATCTTGTTCACGTACTTAAAAAATATTTTGACTTAGTTTATTTATATTAAAGTGATGTTAAATTCACAAATTTTGGTGTACCATTACTTAGACGTTTAGATCCTTCCCATATGAGAATTGTGAAGTCTTCTGTTACAGCATAAAAATGATGTTGATCTAAAGCCCATGCTATTGCAATTATTGCTCCATATCCTTTCATACCATTTATAATTTCTCTGACTAATTTTAAATTCCAGCTACTCCATAATCTTATTACACCATTATCTAATCCTGTTGCAATAACATTCACAGAAACTCCTTCTGGTGCATTGCTATAACAAACAGCTGTTATTTTTGTTTTTGATAAAATTGATCCAACTGCTCTTGCATTTATTGTAAATACTTTCAATTCGGATTCACTGGAAGACGTATTTTCATTTATCTTAGGAACTTCATAGGTAACTGCTATGTCTCCAAGAGTTTCGCTAATCGATAATAAACGAATAGGATAATTTTGATCACAGAATATCGATCTTATATATGTTAAACTACAAAAAGAAAAATAACAAAATAACTTTAAATGTATAATATATTTTTATTTATTTATTTATTTATTTATTTACCTATTTAAATCCCAAATAACGATAACACCAATTGCATCACCTGTTACAGCGATACTAAATGCTCGAGATAAAGATATTGTTGTTATTCTACTTCGATGAGCTAGCAAAATCGATGCTGGCGTTGAATTGAAATCAATCTTGCTTATTATAACTGTGTATGTGTGCACGGTTATTCTACCAGATAAATGACCTATCCACAATTGTCCACAATCTGGTGCTGATCCTAAAATTGTAATCTAAAAAAATAAAAAAAAAAAAATGTTATTGACAATTATTATATAAAAAAGAATTTAAAAATAGTAATTCATCTATTTACTGGATCGAGACCCGAAGATTTGATTAATGGTCTTGGTGGTTGTTCTTTTTTATATTTTAATCTTGCAATTCCATCTGTACCATTCCATGATACTAAAGCGGCCGCCAATACAGATGTCCCGCTTAACATATTTGTACCTAGAAATATTATTATATATGTATATATAATCTGGTTCTAAAATTAATTATTAAATAATTATTAAAGTTTGAAATTATATATATATACCTTTTTCTTTTGTGTAAGCAAGTAATAAAGTTGTATAACTTGGTAATCCAAAAACATCACCAGTAATTAAAGGAACTAAAGATGCTAAAGGTGCTCTATGTTTATGTTTCCAACATAAAACTGGTTCATTTCCAGGAGCACCGACATAATTTCCCCATTTTATACCATCTACACCATCAATTACTTGCGGTAATGAACTATGAACTACTGTATTTCCAAGATTCTGAATTGGTAAAGGATGTGCAACTCTAAATAATTGCGCAGGTGTTTGACCATAAGTTCGTACCATCGTTTCCCATGCTTGACGTTCTAAAGGATCAGCTATTTGTTCAACATTGAATCCATAATAAGTCTAAAAATATAAATTCCTATATTCAAATTATATTTCTATATTTATTTATACAAATATTGTTTTCAACATACTGCAGGATGAAAAACATTTATAGCTTCCACTGCAGGTCTACCAGTTTGTCTAAATCCAAATACCAAATCGATCCAATAAGGTAAAACTTCTCTGACAAGATCTGCTTCTAATGCTGCTCTATGAGCAAGAATAAAAAGTCGTGCATCACCTCCACACCATTTCGGTAATTCAACGTCTCCTACTCGATTACCATTTTGTCGAATCCCAAAATTAAATCCTTTAATAACAAGTTTTTTGTTGAATTAATTTAAATATCATATTTAAATTTGAAACATATTTAATTATTCATATTACCTTCAGAATTCAATAAAAATTCAGGCAAATAGAAAAATTCAGGAATTAATTCTTTTACATCTGTTGTTGAATCACAACTAGTTAATCTCCATGTGGTAGCCAAAGCATGAAATGTTCGATCAGGAATGTCAAAATTGTCATCTTCAAATATAAAAATTAAAAAAATTAAGTCTCAATATTAATATATTACTAATATATATATATTTATGAAAAAAGTTTACCTTGATAACATAAGAACATGCTAGTAAATGGTGGTAATCGTACTAAAAAGTGGAGTACTGTTCCAGAATTACTATAATGTGATCCATAATGAAATGGTTCTTGATTCAATGCAATTAAATTTAAACCTTCTGATAAGGCTTGTTTAAGATACTATAAAATAATAAATAAAATAGAAATATATTTAATAAAAATAATATTTTAGTAAAAATAAATCATTCTTACGTTATAGTTATTTATATAATGCTGTTCATTCTTTTTATCTTGCACAGCCATAGGACGTTTAAAATTTCTGAAAGAACATATCATTTTCGTTATTATTTTCCTAATTGCATTATTATTTTTTATTGTAATACTTACCGATAAATCTTTAGATTATTTAAATCAATTTTTTCGCTTATATAATCTGCTAATACAAATGGAAATACAGGATACTGCATTAAATCATTATATGAACGACCAGCTAATTTATTTAGACAAGTAATATATTCCCAATTTGTCAATGCTCCACTTCTCCACAGTGAAATAGATTCATTTAAATCATCACCTGGTATTCGTCTCGGTAAATTACAAGTAGATAACTCCATTACAAATTCATCTCTTTCCTATAAATTGAATATATCGTTATAAACTATGCAATATATATTTTCACAGTAATGAATATACCTTTGAAGAATTAAATGCTAATAAATAAGTTCTTCCAGTAATAAGAAATATTTCAATAGCTCTTTCTTGCAATTGATATCTTCTCTTATGCAATTCTCGAATGTCCTCGAGACGCCAAGCTGTTCCACCCACCATAGCTAAATCCAAACCACCTAAAGCTATCTGTAATTATAATATATCTAATTATTCATATAATAATAAAAAAATAGAATGATGAAAAAGTTAGAAACTTCGTACATCAGTATGTAACAAAACATCAGGATTATCAGGAATAAAATAAAGACACGTTTCACCAATAAGAACTTCACCAGCTAATTCAGCTCTAGGTGTAACTACTTTTGCTTGAGACATTTTACGTATTCTCTCGCTAGTATGCAATCGCTCAATTAATGCTGTAGCATTTGCATCTTGTCGATTAGTCGTAAATAAATAAGATAAAGGTGCTTCAACTCTCACTGTATCTATATATTAAGATAAAAAATGAAATGAATAAATATGAAAATAAATAAAATTGAATGAAAATAGTTAATAAAAGAATAACACCAAACCTAGTTTATCTTGATATTCATTTAAGAAAAATCTTCGATCAATGTTTAAATGACATCGTTGTAATCGTATTCTAACTCTGGCAGGACCTTCTGTAGGATCCAATTCCCAATTTTTTGGATAGCTATTTGAAAAGAACCAAGGTGCTCTTTCATGAGTCAAACGTCTTGCTAAATCTCTCCATTTAGCAATTGCTTGAGCTTCCATTGTTCTTGAATGTTTCAGTCTTTCCATTAATACTTTACGTTCTCGATTTTGTTCTTCTACAACTGTACGCGTTATAGCCATTGCACTTTCTGTTAGTTGTTTGGCAAGTACATCAAACCTATTGGCAATTCTAATAAAAAAAAATTATTTTATAAAATAGAATATACAACTATATTATATCCTATATTGTATTCACTTTTTATTTACCTTTGAATTGCAGGTAGATTATTATCAATCCATATATCTCGATCTCTCATCAGTTCTCTTCTAAGCAAAGTTAATTCTTCATTCCATATTCCAGGACTAGCTTGCTCTATACCTTTTGCCAAATCCCATATATTCAAAGCTTCTTTTAATTCTACACATATTCTAGCGTCAGCACTAGGCATTTCGTCTCGTCGTTGTAAAAGATCCCAAAAAAATACAGTAAATTTTTGTTCTACCTAAAATATAAATGATATAATATAATATAATATATATTAAAATATAATATAATATAATATATATTAAAAATAATTATTAATTATTAAAAAATTAAGTTCAAATGTATAAAAAAAAAATATCGAGAAGCTCTCACTTGTGGATGAACTTCGAGAAGAGAAGATAGAATTTCTCGAGTTTTTGGTTCTTCCATTAATGATCTGACAGCAAAAATCCTAGTATTATTACTTTGGTGTGGTCCAAGTAACCATACCATTATTTTAGCTGTATATTTTCTTAAAACATGTCTAGTTGACCATCCACTGCTCCAATGATTTCTCTTTTGTAGTGGATTACAAAAACCATGTAATAGAATTGATAATAATCTTTTAGTTAATTGTAACTCGTTTCCAGAAGGTGATTCATCGGCTGCAGTTATAAATTCGACAGCACGCGTAAGAATAATACGAAATCGTTCGAGTAATTCTCCTTTGCTTGGTTCACGGGTAGTTACAACAGAAGGTGTATGCAAACTCGTGTAACTAGATGATTGAGAACCATCACTTTGATTACTAGATGTTGTGAAAACTGAAAAAATATACTAATAAAATAATGAAACTTACATAAATCTTATCTTCATATTACTATTTGTAGTATAAATATTACCTGAAGTTATATGGGAAGCTGAGGCCAAATATGATGCAGTACTACGTAATCGAAAACTTGATTGATTTGAAACTTTCGCTGTAAGCACATCAAGTTCTCCATCAAAAAGTGCTACTTGTGCATCTCTCACAATTGACACACATGTTCTGTTTTTAATGCAATGAGATCTTTCTTTTAATTCCATATGGTTCAATATTAAATGCAAATCTAAAATAGCCTGCATTTGATGATTTCCTGGAGATTCCAAAAGTTTTGTAGCAATAGTAACG